GCCATTGCAGAGTGCTACTAATCGTTGTACTGGCGCATAGATAGACGCGTGATGCAGTAAAGGATATATTGACCTGCTCAAAAATTTTCTCAGAAAGGCGAGGCATACTGTTCGCATGCCAGGCGGTGTCTCCGCGCTTGCCAAAGTCGCCAGTAAATCCAGGAGTTTGTGCTGTAAAAGATATTCTAGGCAAGGCCCCGGTTCATTCTCTTTTTTCTCCTCTTGCAATAAAATATCCAGTAATACATCTAGATGTCGGGGTATGCTAGTGTTTTGTACAGGCACCTTGCAATCGGTCAGATGACTCACATAGAAGTTCATCAATTGCTTCCAGTGGTAGGTGAAATCTTGCAATGGTGTCGCCGGCGGAGCTATCTGAAAGTATTAAAGCAAATATAGATATGTATTTTGAGTGAATACGGTGAAACGTAATTTATTCTCAAAAGTAATTTAGTATAGATATATTTTTTCAAAATAAAAGTGAAAATTAGAACACTGAGAAAAAATGAATTTTTTAATAAATATTTATTTGAATAATGTTTACTAGACGGTTATTTATACTATATTATAATAAATATTTATTGTAAATAAAAATGATTGTTAAATTAAAGTTCTTGTACCAAATAAATATATATATTTTTATATTTAGTAAATATTTAGTTGGTACTGTTCAAACAAATAATGTATTAAATTTAGATTTTTTTTCAGTAGAGTACCAACGTTTTCTTACTTATAAAAAGAATCAAGCTACTAAATTATGTAATGAAAGTAATAAAAAATCAAATATTTCATTACTACAAAGCACATATTGAAAGAATAGAAAATTTTAGAATTCTATCTTTTATGCAGGAAATATAATATTAATTCTAAAAGAAAATAGTTCACAGTAAAAAGTCATTTTTTATATTAATTTATTTTATTTTAAGTCTTTGTCTTTGTATATTAAAAAAAAATAGAAATAGTCAATAATAATAACCGGTCGTTTCTAATATTAAAGGAAGTCTAAGGAACTATCTAAGGAAGATAGTTTTAAAATTTATGTAAGGTCAAGTAAATTACATATCAACAATTAGATATTTAGTGTATATACATATATATATATATATATTGAGTATATATATATATATATATTTCTAAACTAAATATACATTAAAAAGGTCGTTACAGTGTAGATCATAATTATGAAATTATAATAGTTGTTCCTATTTGTGTCGCGTCAGATCAATTTGAGATCGAAACAGTTTAATTTTAATCATATATTTTATTGCACAAAAGAATGGAAGAGATTAATTGCACACGAAAAAAACGTTTTTATGTCAAATTACGTATTATTACCTGATAAGCTTTATCGGTAATAATTTCAAAGTGTTAATTTATTACGTGGCCCAATTCGACGCGAATGTCCTTGTTATAGATAGGAAAGGAAAAATTTTGCAAGTACTATTTGTGTTTTACATATATTCTATTTATTTCTTATTTTTTCAATATTTTTTTCGTACATTTATTTTCATATACTTGCTCTTATCTTTATCATACAAGAATACAGTTTTACGAGTCCCTGGAGAAGTTACAAAAGATGTCGACCGTTTCTTTAACGAATAACTTGTCTGAAAAATTTTAAGAGCAATTCATCTCTAACTGCAAAACATTACAAGAATAAATGTATAAATATATGAAAGAAATTTATACATTAAAAATACCTATAGCAGATGCTATAGGAAAAATCTGTACGTTTAAAAAATAGTAATCGCTATTTTAAAGAAGATAATATTCATTTAATGTAAAAGCACGCTCGAATTTCAATAATTAATTCTATCTATGGACTCAAACTGTCAGTCCACATATGCTATCTTGATAGTAACTTGTTAGAAACTGTAGAAAAATTACGCTACAAATGTTCATAAACACTCCTCTTTTCTGTCGATATATCATATTCAATCGGTTTTTCAAAAGGATTGCAAGACTGGACTTGAGCGAGACCTTTATGACATCACCCGCATTCCGCCGATAAGTACATTAGGTTTTCCTCTCGTTGCGATAGGGAACTATTTAGCATATTTGTTATCGCGGAGTGCAAGGACAGAGCGCAATTGCGCGATTCGTAGCAGACGCTATCGTCGTGTCGTGCTCGTCATCATCGCCGCCACCGACTGCACCGACTGATTATTACTCACCACGTCAATGGCATTCTTCAGGGCGATCTGAATGCCGCTGATCATGTTAACTCTCTCGCAGGGATACACTCGCGCACAACCCTTATTCTCATCCGCGTACTCGCGAGACATTCCCGCGTAGTGTTGCCCAGTCGCGCCTCATCGTGTGGCGGAACAGATTTTTCTCTACAGCGGCTTTGCGCGACTTTGACGTGTCCCCCCACGATGCCAGACGATCGAAGGTGCACCAGGTGGCGACACCAGGATCACATGTGCGCCTGTGCGAAAAATACACCCGGCGTCGTAAACAAACACACGCGGTAGAACGTCGCGACGCGACGATACAATTGCATTTACGTTTTTTATTATTATTTTTTTTTTCGTGTAAGTAAATCGCAAAATTGTACTAAAAATAGTATCACGAAACGCATACTTTCTAAATTTTTCAGAGTGAATCAATCTTATTTTACAGAATGAAGATTAAAATCAGTCCTGAAAAAGAGTGGTTCAATTCTCAATCTTTAAAAATAAGACTTCACTCTTCAAAAAGTGAGATTTATTCTAAAAATTTTAGAGAGTAAAGGTAATCGAAGAGGGTCGTTAGCTCAGTCGTTGCCAAATGGCTGCTTAACGAAGGTCGTGAGTTCGATTCCCTCATTTAGATATGCCGAAAAACGTAAAGAGCGATATTCATTATATTTTTATTTTAAAATCCTCTTAAAATGCTAATACAATCACTTTCTGATTGACTTATAACATCGTAAGACAGTCTTAAATATAAGAATCGATTATATGCAAATACCAAAGAAATCTTTTAGAACATAAAATGTCTAATAGGCTTTCTACAAAAAGCCATACTTAAGCTTTATGTCTTAATCTGTAAGAAATTGACCAATTATAAGCTAGAATCCAGCTTATATGAATTTGTATAGTGTTTTCCATTAGGAAAACTAGTGCAACACTGATGCACATTGAGCGCAATTGAAGGTAAAATGCAAATCAATTTACATTTTTTCAGTATTAATAAATAATTTAATTCTTTTAATATTATATAAGGTTATCATGACAACTAAGAATATGTAACTAAAGGGGTTAAATTATTTATTAATTGAAAATGTGTAAATTAATTTACATTCAATTGCACTCATAGTGTGCACCAGTTTACACTAGTTTTCTCAGTGGAAAACGCTAATAGTCGATTCTTATACCTAAGACGGTCTTAAATATATTGTAAGATCCGACTATGAATACTAACCAAAGAGCAGTAAGATATTACTTAAAATAAGAACGGTCTATACATATATATGCATATCGTACAGTCGATTCTTTTCACATTTCATTGGTCAATTTCTTACAGTTTAAAGCTTAATTAATAGCTTATTGTAGAAAGTCTATATAAGATTTAAGTATCTAAACGACATCATAAAACGTGTCTTCTAGACAATTAGACATTGTGTTTATTATCTAATATGGTCCATATCTTCTTTAGAATGTTCATTATTCGGCGCGGTCAAAATCTTAACGTAATATTTAAGAAAAAATATCTTTGTATTTATATGTAGTTATTTTTTTGAAACGTAATTTTTTATTTCACTCTTTTGTGTAGTAATTAAATAGCAATGAAAAGAAATATCTCTTTATTTGCATGATTATTTATTCTCAACAGCAACGTGTACATAATAACATTAATAACGTTCTACGTGTAAAAAAGTCATCGCTTTGAGAGCGATGATGTACTCGCTCACTCACTCTCGCTATCACTCGCTTTCCCTCTCTCTCTCTCTCTCTCTCTCTCTCTCCCTCCCGCTTTTCTGTTTCCATAAATAATTTTCCAATGACGGCAGTAAAGAGAAATAGCTCTCTTAAAATATCGTTGTACACACATTTTACATTTGATTTCTTATCATTTATCTTTCCAAAAAAGAAAAATATTTTTCAAATATCCTCTCTAAGAACTTCTGTTCCATGTATGTAATCTTATGGATAGTGAAATAATCTTTTTGCTTGTAGTATTATTAATAATTATATTATCTATTGATTAATACAATTTTATCTTCATTAAAACCGAGGATATAAAATCAGAAATATTAAGCAAGAGAAAATCATTCGCACTTTAATTTGTATCACTTTATTAATTTTTGACTTAATTGTACTCCGGTATGAGTACTCACCGACTTAAATGCTCGCAATCGTCGCAACATGGCGACGGAAAAAAATTCGCAAAATTTGTAACGAGAATTTTGTAATTTTTAGATTTCCGAATTCCAAAATGTACACGGTGTTGTCGATAATAAGCACACTAAAAACCATTTGAAACTTCGCGAGCCTTATCATTTATCTCATTAGGCCTTATCGCAATAATGATAAGAGAGGAGATATAATCAATTAATAAAGTTGATAAAATTCTTCGAATGTTTTATCTCGCATGCAATTGTCAGGGATATGTAACAAATTAATATCATTATATATGTATATAAACACAAAATAATCAAATAAAAGCTGCTAATACGCAAGATCGAATAAATTCAATTTTTATTAAAACAAAAATAAATTTTTTTAATAATTTCCGACTTTTCGGTATTAAGGTTTTCAATTCTGTGTATCTTATTCTAAACTTTAAGATAAATCCCATTTAAATTTATTAAAAATTAATTAAAAATAATAATGTTGCGATCTGTTTTGTTCTTTTTTTCCTTGAAGTTTAAATTCCTATAAGTATTTTATCTTCAACTACTAACCATAAAAAAAATTTTTTTCTTTTTCCTTAGGTAAGAATTGTTTTTAATAAATTTAATAATAAATTGATGAAAAATTTAAAGCGGAAATAATATTTGATATTATTTGGGGACAATGTGTAATAAAATGAAAGGGTTAACTGAAGTAGTACTTGAATATCGATGAAAAACTGTTTATTCTCGAATTAATCTTTGTTCTGACAATCGCTATCATCTATTTATCCTCGATTTAATTTGTTTACACTCATCAATATTTTTATTAACAATCAACAATTGACACGGCCACTCGATATTTCTTCTTACCGGTGTACTATAATATATCCGGTAATTTTCTCATTTTATTCAAATATATTTAACTCTCTCTCACTAATTTTTCCTCGCAGAATCGCGAGATTAATCATTTACGCTAACGAGTGGATATGCGAATCACGCTAAATAGCGATCGTCGTACTGGATCGCCGCAGGAAGGATGTTCTTGGTTTTTCTGGCAAGAACATTAACTAAGTAATCACCGTCTTCTAATCCGCTAATTGTAAGTTACTGTTTTTGTGCTCTATGTACAAGAAATATTCATCGCGCAATTTTGTTTTGAATTCCGTTCATTTCTTTTAAACTGCACTCTCTTACATCTTTCTACAAATTTTTAAAACAAGGCAGGTAACACACGTGCTAATGCATGTTACTTCAAAATCTTTTTTCTTTTATCAAAAACGAACCCATAATCTAATTTTCGATACTTGATTACATCTATATGGGTCCTTTTCCTAACTGACAAACTATACAGGCTTCAAAGAAGCCTGTAGAATGATCTAAAACGGTCTTAAAAGAAGGAAGAAGACAGAGAGAGTGTAAAAAGTGCAGCTGAAACGAACAAAAGAAAAAAAGATTCCAAATTTCTTTTCCATACTCGATCGCTTTCACTCGTTCACTCGTTCACTCTAGTCAGCTCTCTCATACCGTCGTTCGATTTTATATTACACATAATTGAATTGCAGCTAACTCGCTACCGATAACCGCGTCTTCACCGCCTCTGCGACGCCACTGCAGCGACTAGAGCAGCGCCACGGCCGCTACCATCCTCCGAGAGCATCAAATCAAACTGCAACAAAGAATATTCAATGAAATCATGGAATAAACATTATTTCGTTTGTTATAATACAGCGTTGCTTCGTTGTTTTAGTCAAAAGAACTTGTTTCTTTGAATAAACGTAATTTCCATTCATCACATATTCTAGTAGCTTTTAAACAAAACTCTTAAGCTTCAATTTTACTTAATTTTTTACTTTGGAACGAATGCATTTTTTGTAAAATCAAAAATATACTCGTAATGGCTCCTTCATTTTCTACTTCATTATTCTTACCTTGTGGTTTTGAAGTTCACTGATTTTCGCCGTCATGAGATCGTGGAAGTGTGGGTGGAATCGGTATACCGATCCGTCAATGCCCACTGTGACATTATTCTCCCCTATTTTGTTTAGCAACGCCGCTATTCCCGCGCTGACCAGATGCGCAGCTCTCCTCGACACCACTGAGCATACATATCTCACATTCTCACAATCCTGATCACTCACATTCCGCATTCCTAGCTCAGCTAATACATCCCGGCAACTCGTATATCTACCTTTAGGATCGCTGAAACACGCAAATATATTTTTAATTAACTCCTAGATTTTCGATAGCTTAATCGTTAATCACATGGGACGAATAATTTTAATTCATATTTTATAATCCTTAATCATCAAATCATAAATAATGCTTTCAATTAATTTTTCTAGATAAAGCAAAGATTAGAGAGATCTCCATCACGTAACCAATTTAGCGCTTATATTATAGTAAATTTGGAAAGATCTTTAATTAACATATAATATATGCAATTAATATTAATTAATACTTACTTTTCAATCTCGGAGACGTATTTCGTGAAAAATTTGCCGCGTTTTCTAAGATCATTGGGACATTTGCCGCCAAAGAGAAGGCCAGCGTTCACCAACTTCTCAAGAACCAGTCTTGTTAATTCACCCATATACATACCCGAGATCATTTTCTCAAACAGCTGCTTATTAGGATTGATCGAATTTTCATCTATGGCACGATCAAATTCGGTTGTCACAAAATCTAGTATACCTTGTTCGCCAAATGCGCCCCATTCTGTGTTTATGAGCATATCAGATTTGCTTGGACTATAGTTGCCTGGAATCGCACATTGTACGTTTTTTGTTTTTTCGACGTAACAGGCGTTGCTTCCAGTACCTGTAATTTTGGTAATAACATTAGTGATAGAATTTATAACATATTTGCTGAGAACGTAATTTTGTTCGGTAATGTTTTTTTTTTTTTATTACAATTTAGCATTTAATTTTTCAAACTTATTCGAGTTTAAATTTATTTATTTGTATAAATTACTTGATATTTATATATTAAGGTGTAATAATCTATATTATATAAAATTTAGTTAAACAATTAATGTTATGTACGTACCGACGATTAAACCGATTCGACAGTTTCGATTTTTCCAAGCACATGACATTAAAGTGCCGGTGGTATCATTTAAGATTGCACATACGTCGATTTTAACGTCCTGTGGAAAATATAAAATAATTATATTCATATCGCTTTTTCTCCTTAAGTTTTTATAATATCTTTGTAGAACATGAATATTAACTTTCAAACATTTCATAATGATTAATAAAATAATAAACGAATTAAATTGAAAAATTTAGTATGTGTATATCTCATTATACAATACATACATATATATATATATGTATCTGAATATACCTCATTCAACTCGCACTTACTCTTCTTCTACTAATTGCGTCTTCGAGAAGGGCAACGACATCTTCACCGATTACACCGCTACAATTGAAGCCCTTGGTCCACCTCACCAGGTGGCCTTCCGTCAATCCGTGTTGGGTCAGGGGAAAACTGAAGGTGAAGCCTAATGGTAGTACCTCGTTCTGCAAGTTCAGGTCCTTTACGAACAACGCCAAACACTGAGCAATGTGATCGAACAGCTGAGTACCGGTTCCCAACATCAAACTCTGGGGTATCGCATAGATCTTGCTCTTCATATCAAAATTCTGACGGTCCAATGTGATTAGCAACACTCTAAAATTTGTACCACCCAAGTCCAACGCCAGGAAGTTGCCCTTTTCTGTAAAAAAAAAAAAAATTTAGAATTAACTGCACTTCCTTTCAAGATCTGAGCAATTTTTATTTAATTCCTTCTTATTGGCATTTGATATAACATTGTTTCTCTATAAATAGAGCGTTTCTGTTTTCCCACGTTTCGATACACATCTAAATGAATCTTAAATTAATCTTCTGTATAGATATAAATAAATTTAAACTCGAATAAGTTCGAGAACTTAAATGCTAAATCACGTAATAAAAAAAAATAACATTACCGAACAAAATTAAATTCTCATATCTTTGTATGAACTTAAGAACGACAAATAACAATAACATAAAATTTTTCACGGTTTAATGACTTAACTTTCTATATTCAATATAATCTGTTTTTTTTTTTCTTTAGTATATAATAGCCTAAAAATCTGCATCACAGATGTCAATAAATGAATCTTATACTAAAATATTATACAATTACATGCGTGCTGAATGATCTTTTACATTCGATTTTAATGTCAAGGAGCTTTCGGACAATACATACTGCATCTTATAGGTTTGTAACTTTTTGCGATTATAATTATAACGTTACAATGTTGTTGCGCAGGTTTTGTATGTAGTAAAAAAACTGCGCATAGATACTGTAACTCTATAATTACAATCGTTACAGAAAAAAATCGAGTTACAGAATAGGTCCTCTAGTTTTTTTATATATGAATGCCATATAAATACGCAACTGTTATAAAATTCTTTAATATGATCGATGTATACAATTAGATCCAATGAGGAATTAAGGCCAATCATATTAAAGAATCTTACAATTGCTAAGCTGCTTCTTGTGTTGAACGCAGCCATGCTTTTTTATTTACCTGTGCCATTCGGCAGATCTTGCACGTAGGTGGTGAAACATTTGACGATCGCATCGTCGTGAGTTTCCCTCGACAGACCCTTGTTGATCTCGTCGGTGAGCTTCTGCATGACCAGCCGGAGCTGGTCATCTGATAGAACGAGGTCCTTGCAGGCATCTCGTATCTACGGACAGAGGAACAAACGATGAGACTCGTTATCGATCCGTATGACGGTGTTATTGGGTGACCTTGAATCGTCCTTAGGCACCACGCACACCGCGCAACGCAACCGCCGAACAACGGGCCATTGCATAACGTTCTCGCTCTTACTGATGCGCATATAACATCGAGAAATTTCGAACGCGAGAGACGATCGATCCTTTCTTTATTGATTCCTGACCCCCGACGTGAGACGTCATACTGGCGAGAAATTCAACACAAACACCCACCCGAATTGTACTTCCCCTATATGAATTCTAGACTAAATTTCAAGTTGAGGTTTCCTTATTTTTCATCATACACTTATTAAACTGCGCATTAACTCTTTATTGAAATAAAAATGATTCTTTAGTTCTTGGACAGAAACAATTTTCTATGTATTTCTATACGTTAAAAAATTGTTGTCAATAATATATAATGTTATATTATAAGCCTTTGATTTTTTCAAGTCTTAATGCTCGAAGCGATAAAAAGAAAACAAACAAAACTTGATATTGAGTGGAAAGTTTTAAATGTAACGCAGCTAACGTGTGAACAAATTCTGCAAACACGAAAGAATATGCAGTTAAGCATATAAACCTTACAGCATATATTTAAAAAAAATTAATAGAAAGCTAAAGATAAAAGTAACACTTACTCAAATTTAATAATACCAATTTAATTATAGTTCAGTATATTTGACAGTTACTAAAAATAAAAAATATTTTTAATCTAATGAAAGCAGGATACTTAAAACGAGTAAAAGATATCATATTTCCCGCCAATTTGATACGTTCTTTCTCCCACCGAGAGCGTAATGAAACATCGATTTGTGACGTCACTGACACACCCGCCCGCTAACCAATAGAATCCATCATGAATGAATAATAGTAAAATATACACGCATCGTATACAAAAGTATACGTGGGTTAATGCACGTGACAGAACGTATCATAAATTTGGATTCAGTTTTTTTTTATCTTAGTTTTATAACTTGTCACACGATATGCGATGTGCGTATCATAAATTTTGAACAGAAATAAAATTTATAATTGCAATTGAAAAACTAATGTATAAATTGTTCGACAATTTGTAATAAATACGTATGAATATATATTTATAAATTTTATAATAATAAATAAATAATATAATATTATAAAATATACATTTATTATAATATTATAAAATTTGATTATATAATATAAAATCAAATACAGTCGAAGACATTATCATTATTACAAAGAATAAAGTACACCGTGTGTCTCAATGATATCCAATGGTAATGATGGCATCTGCGTTCAATGATCAGAGATTTCTCTTGATAATACTTATTTATATCCTCATTTACATTTGTAGTCTCATTCACGTAGCTAATTGCATGATTCAACTACTTTCAAAAGTTGCTCGCAAAAAACGAAGAAAATTAATGAACCACGCATTGTGAACTGCCTTGTGAATGCAAACTCGTCGGACACACACTATACTAATACGCGCAGCTATATATATTAACCCTTAAATGCATTCCATTTCTTATCTTCCTGCTTATCTAGCCTGATTTTATCATCTACTTTCCACTTCATAATATACGTATTATGTAATTAACTTATTAATTCATGTATTTATACCGCGTTGTGTGTTAATTAAAGACAAAAAGCAAATGTCAGTTAATTTTTATTTTTAGTATCACCTTTCGAGTAAGTTATCTAGTTTAATTAGATTGTTTTCCAGATTAGATTGTTTTTTATGTGTAATATCAAATTATTATTTTCATTCTTTCCATTAATAATAGAACTCCGTTTATTGCGTTTTATTACAGCGGTAGCAGCAATAGCACTAAACTCTGTCTATTTCCTTTATTATTCGCAAACGTTATAGTATAACATTCAAAACGATTCCGTTATTACGCTGTTGACATCGTCATTGTTGACACTTAGAAGAGATGTGCGTTTCTTACGCAAGATCAATTCTATCATACAGCATCCCTTTGCGCATATGTGATTGTAACTGTCATTTGACAAATTTTCATTTTCTTTTATTATTTCTTATATTTATTTTTTTACATTTTTATAATTATTTCCGCTTTTGGAGAAAATTATAAAATAATAAAATGATTGCATTATAATGTTTTAAAAAAAGAAATGGAAAATTTCAAGTTATATTCTTCTAACATTGCGCAGTTCAATTGATATTACTTAACTTTTAATTATCCCAATTAAGTTTCATTCTTGGTTTTATTTTTCTAATTATTTGATCGAAAATATTTGTTCGACTTTTTTCAAAATATTAAAAAAATATAAGAGTTTAACTTTAAAAAAGTTTTATAAAATTGGTCAACAATAAAATTATGAAATTACGATATTATCGATTATCATTCGATCTCTTATCATTTAAATTTTATTAGAACTTGTCTTTTTTTTTTAAATTTGTATTCTCTCTCTATTAAGTTTTTTTCTCTATATTATATCTTTCTTATTTTTAACCCTATATTTAAGTTTATTAATCTTATTTTTTAATCTATTCGTTTATCTTGTCTCCAATATCGCTTGTAATTTTATGAACCCCGTGCAATCAAAATTAAAATGCAAAAGGTCGATTTATTTATTAATTATACAGATATTTCTTTCATCCTGTTTCCATAAATTTTCGACCAGTAACTTTGAATATTCATTCTATTTAATATTCAAATAATTCTAATAGTTTTACGTACTTTGTTATCATACTTTTAATTACAATTTCTTGAATATAAAATCGAGAATTATTTTATTATTGATCCATCACTGTATTTCAAATTAAAAAAATTTTTTTTAAAGATTTTTTAATTTTTTGCATCCTATTATTCAAATCCAGTAACTCATTCCTCTAATGTATCTTTTGAGCGCTTACCTCCTACATTTTTGACAGTAATAATTAAAAAATTATATGGTCTTTAAATAATCATAAATATCATCTCTTCCTCTTTTTCTCTCTTTTCGCCATCTTTTAATGTTCTCTCCGACCTTGCTTTCTAACCTTGGCTCCAATTTTACAGTCAATCTTTCAAGCCTGTTTTCTCAACATCCCTAATCTTGTTTCAATACATTCCAAATGCAGACAACTCGAAGAAACGCATAATACAAATCGAATTTTAAACTAGTCTGATTTAAATATTATGGAAATTGTAGGAATATTAAATAAATACCGAGTTTTACCGAGCTTTCCTCAAACGTCTTCTAATCCAAGTGTATACGATGTCACACAACAGACATACACAGAGACACGGATACACATTTTGCCCTTTAAGCTTCTTCTAATCATTCACTGTTCGATCACTTGCTCACCTCCTGCTTGATCAAGTCACTGCATAACGTGGACGTCTTCATGGCCCTCCCAACCTCGCACTCGGTAGTGGAGCCCTCGAGCAGCTTCGTGGTTGCTGATATGAACGACTAGCGATAGGAGAAAAAACGTAAATCGAACGCGCGTCGATTTTTTTTTCCCTCTATGTTCGACCTCGTCGATGTCGGCTTAGAGGCTAGCTTAGCTCGACTAGGAAGTGGAGTTTTTGATTCCTGATAAATATATATGAATTACGAGCTGTCTCTGTGAACTTTGTATCGCGACTGGCTGGAATGACGGCGCCTGTTCGTCCGTTCCCCACAAGAGCGACTCTGGTAGAGGGAATGGAACTTGTGTTGATAGTGGGGCAAAAGGAGGCCATGGAGGAGGCAATGGTACCAGTGATGACCCGTTTTCTCATTTCCCCCTGTGATTTTACTAATAATTATTGCAAAGGACGTCTGTCTTTTTTCTATGAAAAAATTTGACGGAATGTTATTCTATTTTATTAGATCAGGTGTATAAAGATTGAATTTTAAAAGATCTAATTTTATCTAGTACCTTATAAGTATACAGATAAAATTCTTGCTTGATTGTTACCTCCTGATTTTTACTATTTTGTTATATAATATTATTCCTCTTAATTTCGGTTATCTTCAGATATGTTATTTCATTTTTATTTACATTGCCTTTAATGAGCTTTATGGAAAACAGTACGAATATATTGCAAACATGACAGTTGTGTAATTTATATGATTAATGAGGTAACCAAGTTAAACATTCACATATGCTTAAAGATCCATTCATTGATTACCATCGAAACTTTGTGCATAAATTTTTTTAAATTATAATTTTATTGAAGAAAGCTGTTATATGTAAACATTAGAATTAAAATCGAAATAAAAATACTTTTTAAATTACATTAAACTTTTAAATTGACTCAATTGAATAAATAATTCCCTTTTAACGCGTTAAAAATTTAATTTAATTAAAAAATTTATTTTAAATAAATTAGAAAATTTAATAGTAAATTTAAAATTTATAATAGATTATATGTAAAATATAAATAAATAAAAAATATTGTAAAAAAATGGTAATATTTAAAATTCTTTTTTATTTGTATTTTAAATTGTATGAAAATGTTTTGTTAAATGTCGCAAAAAGAGGGTCGCTTAGTTTCTAATGCAATGAGCCGGCACTGCGGCAAATCAGTTAGTGGTGGAAGAGTGAGTGGGGTGGCAATGGCAGCAGAGAAAGAGGGGTGACTTTCCCCTTGCATACATTCGCAGTTAAGGTGGAGGCTCGTCCTCAAGGGCAAATGGATCAAAGCTTTTCTGAAATGGGTATTTCCCGTATTATTTCCTAAATTGATTGATTAACCGACACTCAGTTACATATAATTTCGTTGATTATTTAGAGATATGATAAAGAATATATATTATATTTCCATCTTTTGAGCCGCCTTTAATCTCCAATAAATCTTTTTTACTTTATGAATGACTTTATAAATTATTCATATGGAAATTTGACAATTATATTATTAATTTTATCATTGATGTAATAGTGGCAGTGAAGTATTGTAGTTAAATTTTATGGAAGTAACTTAGTATCTAACTCAGATAGAAAAATCATTAAAATTGAATATTATTCATTCGTACAAATCGATTCAAG